CAACGGGAGAGGCCACGGCAGTGAGAGGCCTGCGTACCACACACACACACAAAAAAGCACCATTATTGATAATTTTCCTATCTACCTTGTGGAAGGGTATATATTTAAATTTTAATATACCTCAAGTACCCATTTTTTAAAAATCAACTTCACGCTTCTTTGCTCATTTTCAAAATGAAAATAAAAGGTTTTAATTAATTTTATTCCTTGTATTAAGATCTGAGCTACGTTGTTCTTTGTGTTCAGCCTGTCCACATGCCTTGAAAGCAGCTAGGCTGGGTGGACTACAGCTGGGCAGCAAGTCTCGGGGGACCCATGAGTTCCCCAAGACTCCCAACTCTCCCTTGCTGAGAAGCAGGAGAGGCCAGTATGGTTGGGAACTTAGCTCTGGACTCAGGTGGAACTCAGATTTGATCCTGGCTCTGCCACTTATAGGCTGTATGACCAAGAGCAGGAACTTAACTTCTGTGGGCCTCAGTTTTGCCATCTGTAAGATGGAGGAATTACGGTCCTGCCTGGAGGAGTCGCTGTGAGAATTCACAGAGAGAATTGGTGGAAGCACTCATACAGTGCCTAGCACATGGGGAGCATCAGGAAATAAAGAGCCACAGCTGTTAGCCTTTGTGATTCTTAGCCTCCCGACACAGACTCAAAGAGGATGCTGCCTTCAATCATCTGACCACACGAGTTACCATATACTGTGCACTGAGAGGTGGCATCGAAGGCGTATTTCTCATGAGAGCTCCCTGCATCCTCAGCACAGCCCTGAGCCAGTGCTAAGAGGGCAAAGGGAGGCTCAGAGAGGTTATGTGATGTGCCCAAGCACACACAGCTAGGAAGAGGTAAGGAGGAAGAGTGGAGCCCTAAGACCTTAGGCCTTGGCCAAGGAGAAGAAGCCACGGCTCATTCTAGGGTCTCTGAGCAGCTCTCTAGTAAGAGGGGCCTAGGTTCAAGCCCACCAAGACCATGGCGTCCAGGAGTGGAAGGAGCTGTGATAATCCCCAGGGCGGCAGGAGACGAAGGAGAGAACCTCGTCTCCTGCCCTAGACCCAGAAGGGCATGTTTAGTCTGCAGAGGATCCCTACCCCACTCTCCAGGAAAACTGGGAAGGTCAAGGTGGGAGGGCTTCTCTCCAGTAGGGTTTGGGGGGCCAAAACCTACAGGTGCAGCCTTAGAAGACACACCTCTGTCCTCCACTCTGGCCACAAAGAACAAGCATTCTGTCAGTCCCAGCTCACACCACGGGGCTTGAGGTGAAGCCCAGGCCACAGCAGGGGCTCGAGCAACAGGAGGTGTTGACTGTCTTCTGGCCCAAAGACCCCAAGGGCCCTTTCCACACTGGTCAAAACAATGCCTATTTTAGCATTCTCTCAGGAGGCTTTGGATGCCGGGGTCAGTGAATAGATTGAGCCGTGGTTTTAGGAGGCAAAAGTCCTCAGGCCACTCTCTCTGTGCTGTGCTAGAATCTGCCCAGAAACGAGGGTGCGTTCAGGTAGTCTGTGTTCAAAAAAATCTCAAGATGGTAAGTCAGAGCTAAATGGATATTAACAACTCTGTAACTGGTGCCCAGGGATGTTATGTCGTCCTCTGTACGCCCACCTCGGCCACTTATAAGATGTGTGACTTTAGGCGAACACTATCCCTCTCTATGCCTCACTTTCCTTCATAAAACAGGGATGATAACATACCTCTTCCCTGGGTTGCTGTGAGTATTAAATGAGGGAGGGGTGCAGGGCTTGGCACACAGTAGAGTTTCAGTAAAGGCTGACTCCCTGCTCCTCTGCCCCTGTGTGACGCCCGAGCAGATAGAGCACAAGTGTAAGGCAGAAACGCCAAGTGAGTGGCCAGAGGCAAGGTAACTCAACCCTCCACCCAATAATGCACAAAATGACCCTGAAATTCTGCAACTGGTGCTGGATAACTGTAGTCCTAACCAATGCTGAGCCCACCTGGGAGTGGGGACACAGAGACAAATGAGACCTTGTCATTGCCCCCCAGGAAGCTCACGGGCTTGTGGGAGGGACATCTACTCGGTGGGCTCAGTGTGATGGAGGGCAGCAGAGGGCCCCATAGATCCTCCTAACCCAGGCTGAGGAGGCCTGGAGGAGGGGTCACCCGGACCAAGTCGGAAAGGGATAAGTAAAAGATGAGTTAGGTGAAGCTGGAAAGTCTAGGAAGAAGGCTTAGCGTGAGCCAAAGTGCAGAAAGGAGAGAAAGGGTGGGGGGATACGTCATGGGACACTGGGATTGGGGCTGGTGTCTGAACACAAAGATAGTAGAGCATCTATTTCAAGAGCAGGGCAGAGCGAAGGCGATTGCTGAGGTTGGTGATCATACAGCCCGGGGTAGAGGCTCATCATTTTGATTTACCAGGGAGATCCCAGGTCTCCTGGGAGCGCTGCACGCCTACTCCTCCAGCTGTGCTTGCGGAGTAACAGCCACGGACGGGCGCGCATCTGCGGAGGCCAGTCGCTAAGCAACAGGCCCCGCCCCTGCGGTTGTCTCGCCTCCACGCGCCCTCTCCCGGTGGCCCCTTGCCAGTGCATCCGGGGTCAGGGAATGCCGCCTGCTGCCTTCCAGAACGTTCTCCCAACTCATAGCCAAGCCTTGGTCGTTTGGGTTGAGCGATGGTGCCCCCGCCGACGGTCTCTCTGCTTCCAATCTTTTTCTGCCAGGATCTGGCTGACTCCACCCCTGCAGGACCTGGGCTGGGCCAGCCAGTGAGGGAGGCGGCCAGAGAGGCGGGCAGGCAGGTTGTGCCGAGAACGTTGGTCTCAGAGCAGTAGGGAGCCATGGAAGGTGCATGAGCGGGACAGCAACATGAGCGGATCTGGTGTTTCAACGCTCACGCTGAAGCTGCTGGAGGACAGCCTTGTGGAGCAGGGCATTCAGGGAGCACGATTAAACTGATTGGAAAGGCTACAGGCAGCAGGGGTCAACTGAGCCCACCAGGAAGTAACCATGGTGACAGCACACAGGAAAGGGCAGGCTGGGGCTCTCAGAACTTGGGGTTCACATCAAGCGGAAGGGAGCTAGGCAGGGTTCCACCCTGCCCCCCAGCTGGTCTTTTCAGCCCCAGCAGGCACCCTCAAGGCTGCAGGAAAGATGCCGACCAGTCTCTGAGGCTCATCAGTTCACAGGTCTGCAGGACAACTGAGCGATCCTCCCCTTCCAGGAGTCCTCTGCACATGGATCCCTGGAGGACCAGGGAACATTGCTCTTCTCCACAGGACAGAGCTTCCCACCTCAACTCTGTGAGCAGGCTAATTAAACATTGGTCTGGCATGGTGTGGAGTCCCTGTGGTCACAGACTGCCTCTTACTTGTGTGTGTTGATCAGAAATGCAAAAACAGCTTTATGGATTAATGCAGTTTGGTTGAAAAATCTTTCAAAGCATGGGGTCTACGATAAAGCAAAGTGATGAAAAATTAGGGTCACTGATCCAGCCCCACCTGGCCATACTGTCAGAAGGTCACAGGTCCAGTGAGGGCAGAGTTCCGCCAAGTGGAACCAGACGCCGGGTCTTCTCCCACCCTCCTGGGGTTCCTGCAGCCCTGTGGACCCAGGGGCAGCACCAGCATTGGGGTGGCTGATAGCTTTAGCCTCAAAGCCAGGCTAGTCTAAAATCGCTGCATCACCAGGTCCAGACTGAAGCCAGTGTGACCTGCAGGCCTCAGTATGCCTGGTTCTGCTCTGCTGAAAGCACTGTCTATAAAGCAGTAACTGAAAAATTCCTGACTGTACTTGCTCCAGTACATTCCAACAGAAGAGGCCCAGGCCCTTGAACTCCAGCCACCACACTGATGTTGAGAGAACAGTTAGAATATCACTTCTCAGTGTTCTTCCTGCCACCTGTCCTAAGACGCCTGGCCCACAGGCAAGACAGGAGGCAGGTCGGCCTAGTTTCCTGGGTGCCAATCCTTCCCAGACAGAGAACAGGACACCGTCCCTCACCCTCAAATCTGTCACTCCAGGTCTCCTACCCTTTCTACCTCCCTACCGAGAGTGCCTACCCTCACCTAACTCATTCTCGCACTTGAAGATGCAGTCAAAGCCCCAATTTTTCAGGAAGGCTTTCTCTCCCCCACCCCCGCCAACAGCCCCTTTACCTCTCTCTGTCCCATGGCAATCCCACTGGACTGTCTATTTGTCTGTTTGTCCCACTAGATTCCATGCTCCTCATGGGCAGAGCTGATTGTCAGGTTCTGAATCCAGCAGAGATGCAGGATACTTTTTAAATGACAGAGGAAGTGAAAACAAGGGAAGAGAACCAGGACCCTAAAACACAAAAATGGGATCAAGTTCTGTTTTTTAAAACCATGTCACTCGGCAGGGACCATGAAAGGAGCTAGGGAAGAGAAACTAAAAGAAATCTTTACATTTTATGTGTCTGCATCAAATTTCCTTAAGAGGTCTCTACTGCTTAAAATAATAACAATACTGATAGTAAAAAACCTACTAGCCTGGTCCAAGGCTCTCACTTGGTAACTGAAGTAAAGGAAGGGCCTTGCCTAACTACACAGAAAGAGCAGGCCAACGGGCCACGAACCCCAGCTCCCGACTCCCCTACCCAATGCTGCCCTCCACAAAGATTTAAAGAGACGATAAACCTTCCACAAGGATTTCTACTGCCGATTTTATTTCAATAGTCAACTGTTCCCAGAGAAGAAACTGCTGGTGCCACAGGTGATGTGGAAGAACCATCCTATTCTCTGAGAACTGCATCAGCGCTTATGAACAGACTACTTTTTAAAGCTAGCAATCATTATAAAAACACTAAATAGTCAAACTTTAATAGATTTTTTTAAACCAGAAATGATGCCTATAATGGCTTAAACTTCACGGAGAACAAGTGAAGCAGCCCTAGCGGCCAGAAGGCTTATAGTAAAGGCTGGAGAAGGAGCGAGGGGCAGTGGCCAGGCTGACTGTGGGGGACAGAGCAGCAAGGAAGGATGCTGCAGAACCTGCTGTCAGCGCCCTGGTCCTGGCTGCTCGTGCCATCCGCCTGGATGTGCTGGACGCCTGATGTCTGTGTGGCCCCCAGCTGGGGACCAGGGAGAGGCAGCAGAACCAGAAGACTGGAGTAGATGGTGCCTCCTGTCCTGGAGCGGGACCTAAGGAAATCAGAGGCTGCCTCTGGGGGCGAGTCTGGTAACAGCAGCACAAACCAGAGACGGTTAAATTCATTCCTTAACGTGAGCTTCCACCAGTCCCCCACTCCTTACAGCCCTGGCTCTGCCCTCCAAGCTCCTTTTCAACCGCCTGTTATCTCAGGATTGAGAGGACTTTAGCAATCAGCTTCCTTCCTCCAATCTTGAAATGGGAATTAACTGTCATCTTACGCCTATCACTATCCTTCCTCCCTACACATCACTGAACAGAGACAAGAAAATCATTGCTGTTAACACCCCCAAGGCCCCACTCTGCTGGCCTGAGGGCCAGGGCCTAGCCGGACTGCTCCTGGGACTAAAGCTGGCTGGGCTCCCACGGCCCCTCCGCATCCTGGTCATCTGTGAAGGACAGAGAAGAGGGGCTGGATTCAGCAAGAGGAAAAATTACCTGTTTTCAGATGTAAGTTTTCTCGAAGGCATTCCCATCATTCCCAGTCCCTACGGAGAATTAGTTATTCCCACGGCCACCTTTAATTTGCTAGGAGTCAGGAAACTGGAATTCTAGCCCTGGCCACATGACACAGACTCAAGTTCAAACTCCAGCTCTGCTTGTCACAAGCTGGGTGGGAGGAAGCAAGCTACTCCCAGCTGTGAACCTCAGCTTCTCCTTCTGTCAAAGGAGATGATGCCATACTTTGCAGCATCAGGGGATTAGGTGAAACACTAAATGAGAACAAACTTTTACTACCGCCTTTATCGTTTCAGCCATCTTCAGGATGGCCTCGTGAAGTAAGGGACCCTCATTAGTCCGCTTGTACAGATACTGAAACTGAGGCACGAAGGAGTGAATTAACGTGCCCGAGGTCATACCGCTGGCAAGTGCTGGAGTCAGGACTTATACCCAGGCTGTGCGGCACCAGGGCCAGCGTACTTCAAGCCACACTGCACCATCTCCCCAGCCAACAGATCTAGGTGTTGCACACACAGCAAGTGTACAATAGGCCTCAGTTTCTTTTCCTGTGGAGCCTCGGGGAGGATGGAAAGGGTAAAAAAAAAAAAAAAAAAAAATCCTAGAACCTTTAAAGCTGCAAGGGCCCTCAAAAGAAAACCCAAAGCATTTTCACATCCAGAGTTGCAGTTGACCCTCACAGTAACCCTGTGACAGGGCCTGTTTTACAGGTGAGAAGACTGAGGTCTAGAGGAGGGTGTGAGTGCCCAAGATCACCAAGTGCACCAGTGGCAGAGCTGTGAAGGGCAGGTCCTCTCCAGAGTGGCCTGGGGGAGAGGAATCATCCCCACCAGCCCGCAAACTGGCTCCAGCTGCTGCTCCAGGCTCAGCACGTGCTGCTTCCCCAGCCAGAGAGGCCCGGCACCTCTGGTCTTCTGAACACACCACATGCGTGCCATCCTCCAAGTCTCTGCCCACGGGCACTGCTAAGGTGAGGAAATTAGCATCGGACCTGGAGCCAGGCAGAGAATTCTGTTGAAATCTGAGCTCCGCCACGGACATATAGGAGAACCTCTCAGGGTTCTGTCGGCTTCCTCACCTGAGAATGGGGACCCACCTCCCCTAGATGATCACGGATGGAATTTAGGGAGGGGTGCAAGGAAGAGCTTACCCAGGGCCCAGCACATTTAAAATTCTGTTCTCCATTTCCCTTCTTTGCACATCCATTTCGCAGTAGGGCCCCCTTCCTCCAGAAAGTCTCCCTGGCCCCTCGGCAGCTGGAAGGGGGGGGTCACTCACCAGTGTTCTCCTTGTCCGCGTCAGACACGATGGGCAGCGAGGACGACGGGGGCACGCAGTGGAGCATGGAGAGGTACCGCGGGGGTAACTGGGCCGGCGGCAGCAGGTAGTAGCGGGTCTGGAGGTCTTCCACTGGCTTCTCCACCTGTGGGGCGCACACAGCAGAGAGCCAGAGGGGAGAGGGTTGGCCAGAAGGGCCAACCCAACGTTCATTCTCCTGAACGGGGGGCTCCCCGTGGAGCAGATTCACCTCCATGGCCCAGACACCGGGGCACAGGGCGCCCGGAACAGGCTGCTTGGCAAGCACCTGCCAGATGACTGAGGCAAGAAGGAACAAAGGCACACATCAGATAAGCCCGGGAGCAGGCGCACTTGCACAGGTCCACAACCTCCTTCCATCCTTACGACCCTAGGAGGGAGGTTCTATTACTATCCTCACTGTGGTGACCAAAAACTGCATCAGTGAGATGAAGGTACAGGCCCAGGGCCACAGAGCTGGTGAGTGGCAGAGGCAGAACTGAATCCCGAGTCGGCCTGACCCCACTGCTTTGCAATGGAGAAGGATCTGCATGCATCCCGACTACGTGTGGTCCCACCTTCCCCACGTGTAATGACTCAGACTCCAGGGTCGCTGGGCCTGGGGGGTGTCCCCCTTCTAACCGGACAGTGTCGTGCAGCCGTTACTGAGGCAAGGGCAGCTGGGTGACCTCAGCAAAGTGGCTTCAGCAATCAGCCCTTCTGTATTTCTGTTCCTTCTCCGGAAGATGGAAGCTCACCCCACATCACAGGACCCCAAGGCTGGAATGAGGGGACGTGGAGGGGTGATGACTACACAGCTCAGAGAAACTTAACTGGGAAGACATGAATGTGATAGAAAATTATGAATTTCAGGTGTGGGTCCTATTGTTTACTTCTCCATCCAGATGCTTCAGAGCAGCCCTTCTTAAGCTGTGCTCCAGAGAACTCCGGTGTCCTACAAGGTATTTCTAAAAGTGCTCTCAACAGTGTTCTTTGTCAAGGGAGTTTGAGAAACACTGCATACCACCTCCACACTGGTGAGTCACACACAAGCATATTAAAGGCCTCAAGGCAGTCTGCAAAAATCTCCTTAGGTTAACCCAGCACTTCCTAACTTAATTTGACCACAAGGAAGGGAAGATAAGCCCACTTTTGAGTACCTGCCATGTCCCAGACCCTGTGCCAGACACTTTGTACACATTCATACCTTATTGCTGGAATCTATCAATGGCCCTATGAGATAGGACTCTCACCCCCATTGTACAGATTAAGAACCCAAGCGAGGTCCTCAGAGGTTAGGTGACATCCCCAGGCCATGTGGCCAGTAAACAGCGGAGGTAGGACTGGTCTTTAGGTCTGTGCGATTCCAGGCCTGTGCTCTTTTGTGGGAAGAGAAAAGAGGAAGCAAAGAAGTAACAGGTGGGGCAGGACAGGAAGAGAAGGTGGAAGGTGGCTCGGGGCGTATCTAGGAGGCTGAGCAGGGGCCAGCAGGACAACGATGAAAGCAATTCATAGGCTCTTGGGTTCGAAACAGCTTCACAAATAAATGCCTGGTCCTCTATCCAGACGTGAAGCGGGTGGGAAGGGGGGTTATTAGTGCTTTAATTCCAAGCTGCTCAGCGGAGTCTCTCCCTGGATCACAGCTCCTGCCTGGGGCTTGTGGTGGCAGCTCAGGCCCAGATAAACCAACTGAGATCACACTCCTAACAAAGGCCGTCTGGCAGGCCTGTCAATCAGAGCCCTGCCCCGGATGCCAGGCCCCAGGCTTCTGTGTGAGCAGACGGTGGGTGTGTGCTCCATTTGGCCAAGGTCCCTCTCTTTGTGTGGAGGCTAGAGACGCCGTGCTCTCCCTGGGCTGCAATGGGGTGGCCGGCACCCCCAAATTTCAGGCAGGGCAGGGGTGGCGGTGAGAGTCAAGGGCCATGTTTGCTCTGCCTCTGTCCTGGCTCTGTCACTGACCAGCTGTGTAATCTGAATCCTAGTCCCTCACTCCCCAGTCCTGTGACCCTGGACAAATACATAACTTCTTGGAGCCTTCTTCCTCTGCCCTACAATGAAATAACATTCACCTCGAGGGCTGACATAAGGGCCAGTAGACACCCTGGAAATGATCAAGACCAGGGGTGTTCCAACTTTTCCCCCTTGAATGAATGGAAAATGATTTCTAAATAAAACTTTAAAAGATCTGGAACAGACAGAGGAGATGCTGCTGAGGTGAAGCAGGAGTGGGGATCCAGCCCCTGCGTGCCTGACCTGCCTGGTCACAGCTGGAACCCCACTGAACCAGCTAATGACCTGTGGCTAATGACCTCATTATGTAAATGCCAAGCTTTTATCCTTTCTCTTACTCACTTCCCACATTAAACCTAAGAAGCCTACTCTCTACTCGCTCTTCTCCACCCTCCACCCAAGGGAAACATCTCTGTAACATCCAGCGTTAGGCTTGTAGCTCTGAGAGAGACAGTAAAGGTGACAGTGGTCTACATTTCCCTGAACTTGAACTGCGTCTAAGCCAACCTCCCCCACAGGTCCAGCCTTATGGGGTCAAAGTCAGGACTGGTCACCCAGGCCTCTCACTATCCTGCAGTCCTGATGGCCCTCAGTGCTTGCCAAAAGGGAGAAGGGCGGAAGGAGCTGGTAACCAAGGCCACAAAACCTGGTCCCCCCACCCGTATCTCACACAACGGTTCTGACTTTTACACATCCAGCACTCGAAACTCCAGGCTCAAAAAAAGCACACCAGTTAGTAGCCAACCACTGATCTTATAAAAGGATTAAATTTCATCCATTCTTTCAACAAATATCTCCTAAGGTGACAGGTGTTTGGGGAAGGTTTCCATATTTTTCATGACTAAGCTTAAATGCCACTTCCTTCTGAAAGCCCTCTGCCGTCTCCGGTGGGATATCACTTTGGGGCAGGGGACCTATGTCTGCTCCTGGCTCTGCCCTCAAATGTGTGGCTCCAGGAAAGTGATATTTCCTTTCTGGTACCCAGCAAAATGAAGGGCCCTTCTAGCACTGGCATTCCATGGGTCAAGGCTGGTGGTCACTCAGTTTTACTGTGTGGCGGTTCCTCAGGCTCATCTGAAATGTGTCTGTATTCCTTCATGCCTGAGCTCCCCCCGGAGCCTTTTAACCCACGCCACAGCCCAGCCTGACTTGTCTACATGTGTACAGGCTTGGCTACACATGTGCATTCCCAGAGGCGCACACAGTACAAGGTCAATGCTGTATCCTTCTGACCAGTGCCCAGGGCCTGGTACAGAGTGGGCACAATGGCTGGCTTCCTGGGACTGAGGGTCTGTAAAAGCAGCCAGGGTAACTGGGGTAAGGAGGAACCTCGAAGAGTCAGGGATGGTACTCACCAAGCCTGCTCCATTGTAGTGGCTGCAGGACACATGCTGGAAACCCTGCTGCGGGGGGACCCCCGGGGTAAGGGATGCATCCTGGTAGCCCAGCAGGAACGGGTGGTAGGGGTGCATGCTGGAGCAGTTGTGGTACAGCTTGGAAGGCTCTCTTTCCAGGTACTCAGACCCCACCACACGATCTGAGTTGACGCTCAGAGGGGGCCCTGAAAAGGGACACAATGAGGGAAGTGTTAAAAACACACAGAGCTAGGAAACAGGGCATCACATTACTGTCTGAAGGTAGCAGTACAATAAACACTCATATCCATTTACAGAGAACTCCCACATCCATTATGCTTTTGACCCTCCCTGCTCTTTAAACCCTTCACCCATGTTCCACTCACTGTTCTTAGGAAAAGTCCTTTGGCACAGCCACGAAGCCCCATGTGGGCTAGTTCCTGCCTCCACTCCAGCCTCCTCATTCCCGAAAATCTAGCAGCTCCTTCTTTCTCCTCCACTTCAGGGCCTCTGCAGATGCTGTTCCCTAAGCTTGGAAGGCTTTTTCTCCTGACCCCACTTTGCCTCCTGAAGTCCCCAGTACTCAGCTCCTAACCAGCTTCCTTCTGACCACAGCTAAACCATCGATTATCAGAGCTCTATACACCAATCTGTGCGACTCTTTGATCAGTGGTGTCCCTCTCCCCGGGACAAGATCCTTGAGGGCAAGGAATCTGACTCATCCTTTTCATCATTAGTGTCTGACACATGGTGCTCAGGGCTCAGTCCCTGTTCTTTGAGAGATGGAACAAAGAAAGGCACTGTGGGGCTTCCCCGGTGTCACAGTGGTTAAGAATACACCTGCCAACGCAGGGGACACGGGTTCGAGCCCTGGTCTGGGAAGATCCCACATGGCGTGGAGCAATTAAGCCCGTGCGCCACAACTACTGAGCCTGCGCTCTAGAGCCCGCATGCCACAACTACTGAGCCTGTGGCTCCACAACAAAAGAAGCCACAGCAGTGATAAGACCATGCACTGCAACGAAGAGCAACCCCCGCTCGTTGCAACTAGAGAAAGCCCGGCCACGACAACGAAGACCCGATGCAGCCAAAAATAAATAAATGAAAGGAAGGAAGGAAGGCACTGCGTCCATGGAAAGATATCCTTCTCCTAGAATTGCTGTTTCAGATCTGTCTTCCCCATCTAGTTCTCTGGGGACCTATATTTTCCTAGAATGCCCCAGAAGGCAGAAACGGGCTTCAGAGAGCATCAGGCCAATCCCCTTAGCATACAGAGGGGAGAGACCGCCACAGAAGGAAGGAGCTTGCCTAGGGTTACAGAGTGAGCAGGCCCCCAGCGTCCTGACTCAGACTTGTGCTCTTTCTACCACACTGCCATAGAGAAAACCAAGAAGACACGTGTCTGCACCCAAAACAAGCCCCTTTAAAAAAGCTTCAAATCTACACGTGACTTGAAATTGTAATAGTGAAAGCCACAAGACCTAGGGAACAATGTAATTTATGCATATGGGGGGAGGGGAGAAAAAACAGGCAACAACAATCATCTCAATAGACTGTCCTGCTGTAGTGTGCAGAGCTCGCATTCCCACCCACGCCTGGGAAAGGGCTGGAAGGGCTGCACAGACAGACCCATTGGGGCAGGGAACGGGTGACGCTCGGGGCCTCTAGGGCACAGAAACGGAGGGGACGGTGCGCAGGCGCAGTCTTGTTGCGCTAGCCCACCCACAGGGACGTCCTGGGGAGGAGCCTCCAGCCCAAGAAAAGGGCGGGAAGAGGCGCGCAAGCGCAGTATGGTCAGGCTTCCTCGAGCCTCTCCGTGGAGGGGGAGGGGCAGCAAAGTCGACTGGGGGCCATTTTTTTCTTTTCACGATGGAAACGCAAAAAGCTGCAGCTAAATGTTAAAAGCCCTCAGAACCACCCATTCCTTTCTCTCTTTTACCTTCTTGCAAAAAGGCACCGAACCCAAATGACTACTCAGAAAAGGGTATCCCAAAGCAAGGTTACCTCTAGAAAGCATCTTCCCCACCCCCACTCCTTCCCCGCGGGATCCGAGCGGGCCTGGGACGCCGGCGTGGGGAGCGGGGAGGCGGCAGCCTGGAGAGGAACCAACAGCAGGGCAAGGCCGCGCGGGGCCCGCCCGGGAATCTTACCGAAGTCGGCGAATGGCGGGCTGAGCACCGGCCGAAGCGGCCTGCTCAGCTCCAGGCGGCCGGGGCAGCCCCGGCCAGCGGCCTCCGCCCCGAGCTGGGGCCTCAGAGAACTGGGCATGGCCGCAGCGGCTTGTTTGCTCGGCCCCACCGGGCCGCGGCCTCCCAGAACTGGCTGGAAGGTGCTCGGGCCGGGGCTCCAGCCCTGCTGGGGTCTCTGGAGGAAGCAGGCGGCCGCGCGGCGCTCGGGGCCCGGATGCGCGTCTCCCAAAGCGGCAGGCGGAGGCAGCGGGCGTAAGCTTGAGCCCGGGACAGCGGCCGTGTCCCCGGAGGCCAGCTGGGGCCCTTGAGCGCACAGGGCCACCTCCTGCTCCTCCTCGGAGACCTGCTTCTGGAGTACCTGCTGCGCGGCCGTGATCTTCTGGCGCTGGGTAATCAGGTAGCACTTCTTGCAGGTGCACTGCTTCCAGCGGCACTTGCCCGCATGGCCCTTGACGGGTACCAGGAAGCCATGGTTCCGGCACCGGGAGCACCTGGGGGCGCGCAGCATCTTGTCGGCCAGCTTGGCAAGGTCTGCCTCCATTGCACAACCGCTACCTCTGGGAGCTGCAGAGCGAGTGGAGCACGGATGAGCAGTGCCCCACGAGTCGCTGGTGCTGGGGACTTTGGATACACTTGTAACAAAGCGACTCTCAGTGCGTCCCAGGAACTGCAGCAAGACCCTTGCATTTTCCCTTTTTTGGGTGCAAAATTTGGAGAGTTTCTGTCCCTTGGTTAATAAGATGCAAGGGATTGGGTTGAATAAGTTCTTCATGTAATGCTATTGCATATATGTCATCTGGATTATCTGACGCTTTAGGCATTTAATTTCCAAACTCTCTATTCCCGCCATCCCACAGACAGAAGCTATTTCGTAGTTTCAAAAAAAGAAGGCGGAGTGATATTCAACGGTGCACAGATTTAAAGCTCCAGAGGAACGTATAAACCAACCCATTCCGGTAGAAAAGCATTCCAAAAGGCAAACCGTGTTTCTCCTTCCAAAAGCTGCTGCTTCTGCTGAATTTAATTTATCTTCCCTGCAGGGAAGCAGCCGTTCACAGCGATGCTTCCAGAATATTCTCAAGAGCTCAGTGCAATGTGATAGCTGCTCAAGGGTGTGCCCTATAGTAATTCCCATTTTTTAAGTCTTATTGGTATAGGAATACATTTCTGGAAGATGGCATATTGCTGTTGTTGATGCCTTCCAAAGTCAAGCATACTTAGAATGCTTTAAAGTAAAATAGACTTAGGATATTTTAGCATGAGCTTGAACCATTGCTTAACTGTGCCATGAATTTAGTTACCTCTGTAAAACAACCCAAATCTCAGGACACCTAAAAAGTTGCCACAAACTTCATAGCTTCCCAAGACTACTAAACTAATTCATTTTTTTGTTTTATAGAAATTTGTGACACCGTGAGGTCTTCCCCCCACCCCCCTTAGGTCCAAAAAAGAAAGAAAAAAGCTTGTGATCATAGGATCAATCATTTTCTTTAAGGAGGTAGTTATGGTTAATACCTGGTGAAAACGTGTGTATTTTTAACTGCCCTCTCTCTGAAGTTCTCTCTTTCGGGTAGCAGAATGGTAGAAGCTGAGGGCCAAGGCCTGGTGTCCACCTTGATCTTCCTGAGCCTCTGGTTGCAGCTGTATTTTGTATTTCTCACCAGCTGCCTGACAATAGGAAGTGGTTGCCAATCTGAGGCTGATTATGTACTGGAAAGCTGAAAAGAGGTTTCTAAAATCTTTTTCTGCTTTAAGGAAATATATTCCTCGGGCTTCCCTGGTGGTGCAGTGGTTGAGAGTCCACCTGCCGATGCAGGGGACACGGGTTCGTGCCCCAGTCCGGGAAGATCCCACATGCCGCGGAGTGGCTGGGCCCGGGAGCCATGGCCGCTGAGCCTGCGCGTCTGGAGCCTGTGCTCTGCAACGGGAGAGGCCACAACAGTGAGATGCCCGCGTACCACACACACAAAATATATATATATTCCTCATCTTAATAAGAGGGCAAAAAGTATATTCTTCCTGTATTATTTGGCCCTTTAGGAATTTCACTGGTAATTTAAATCCATTTAAAGAGATCTAGGTTTGTCTCTGCTTTGCTCTAACACCCTCTATCTTAATTTTTGATTTAAAAAATATGGTCCCATAGATACAAGGACAGGCAAGCTCTTTTTCTGACTCTACTCAATTCAGAATGTCTAACTTTTTCACCGACCTTGTCAATTGAAAATGTTACTTAAAAATCATATTTTCAATACTACTGTCAAAAAAACTGGGGCATAAGCTGCATTGTTTCATTATGCCGCAAATTATAAGGTCATTTTCTGCATCATCAAATTTAAGTTTTAACCTCAGGTGACATCAGCTGATAAGGCCTAAACAAGAAAACTACTCATTTGCACTTCCATGCTTGACCACCCAAGCTCTCTTCATTTTCCTATTAATGATTTAAAGGAAAATCCTATTCAAAGACAACTATTTGAATTAACTTATTTTAGCCTTGTTAAGGACAAAATGCTTCCATATCTATTTCATAACTTTAGGGGCAAAATTTACCCAAGGTGATGTGAATTTGCATAGTGCTTTGAATTAATAAACAACCACATGTCTTTTTAATCAGTAGTCACGTTATAAGATGCAGAAACCTCAGGGTTTATATAGTAAACAAATAAGAAAAAAATATACTAGTTTATTTCTCTCTTCCCCACAAAGTCTCAATCTGTGTAGGTAAATTCCAACGGAGCTTTATTTATTTCACTCTTGGAAATTCAGGCAAATTGATAGCTTTGTTTTATTTAGGTTGATGACTGATTTCTTCTTAGGCTGCTGCTGCTAGATAGAAATAGATATAGATTTACTTCTTTAAATTATTATTTAAAAAGATGGTAAGATGTAAAAGTGAAAAACTGGAAGTCAAAGAAGGATGAGAGCAGTAAGTACATAGTAGACCCCTTCCTTCCCCACACCTAAACCTTTGGATGTTATGTTTAAGAAAGTCTGCATCATTGTAAGCAGTTTTATAAAATGACAAGTTATAGTTACTGGGGAATCACCAGTTTGACTAGTTAACCACAAAGGGGCTGGTTGATGGGCATATCTGAGTTCCAGCTTTAGATATGGCTGTATTTTCCTCGGAGTCCCAAATTTCCTACTTTGAATGATGCCTCTTCTCTTCTGTTAATATGATTGCTATTGGTACTGTTTAATTCATATTCATTTTAAAGAGCCCTGTATTATGCAGTACACAGGGGTATCATTTATAATCGTTAAACATTGCATGCACTATAATGTTTCCTCACTGGTAGCACACAAGAGTAAGGAAGGGCTTCTTTGCCTCTAGCATCTTTCCCCCAGCGGCTATAACCTAGATATCTAATATCTTCTTCAGGCTCTCTCTAGTGAGCAATGAAAACTTTATTGAAGATTTTGTAGGGGATAGAGGGGAGGATTTACATGACACATCCTACAGCAGATGCTTTAAAATCCTGCCTTAGCGTTTCTGTTCTCTCAAGATCCTCCTCTGCTGTGCCACACCCACTGGAGAGGAACTGGTCTGGTTCCCCACCCACCCACCCCCGTCTCCACCACCTCCCACCCCCACCCCAGTACCCAGCCTCTCTAGCTTTTCTCGCCTTGATTTTTGAGAGTTCTGTAATGGATGTGACTATCTTACTTTTCTTTATGTCTAGCTCAATATAGACATTCAATAAATATTTGTTGAATGTACAAATGAATCTTACCTCCCTCTCCTGCCAATGTCAAAGTCATCTCCTTTCTCACCGGCACAGTAAATCAACTTGAATCCACCAACTTTTACCAAACATCATACAAAACAGAAAGGCCAGAGTGAGCAGGACTACTCTCCCGACAAGCAGAATCTGAGGATCAACTTCGGTTCCTTGAGCTTACCCCTTATCCCTGATGGTTTCATAACAGTAATAATACCTACTAGCACTTACTAAGTGTTTGTATGTGCCAGTAACTATTAAGCCCTTTATGTGTATATATTCATATAATACTCAAAACAACTCTCTGAGGTAGGTACTATTATTTTCAGCCCCATTTTACACATGATGAAACTGAAGCCTACAGAAGTTAGGTATCTTGCCCAAGGTTTTCAGCCATGAAGTGACAGAGCCATGATTCAGAACCAGGAAATTTATCCTCAAAGTCCATGTTCTTAACCATATATCTGCTAGCTCAATATTTCTTCTAAGCAAACACAGTGCTCTCCCCAAGAAAGCATTGGTGATTAATAGAAATGTTTGTCTTGTTACATACCCCATTACAGTCGGGGCAAAGGAGGATGAAGGTGTAGCAACTTGGTGAAAATTCCTAGCATGCCCTGCTTACTTGGTTTTCTTTACCCATAGCCAATATTCATTGAGTGCCAACTATGTGCTAAGCATAAAGGACACAGAAGTAAATAAAAAGATAGGATCCTTACCTTTATGTATACTTCCTAGCTGGCAAACCAGACGGTAAACAAACAATTCCAGATGAAAGCAGAGGAGTGGTGCGGAGACCCAGGATGCTATAGGAACCCATATGAGGGTCCTAATCTGGATCAAGAAGTCAAGGAGGACGTCCTTGGGGGGCTGATTCCTGAGCTCAGGCCTAAAGGATGAGTAGGCATTAGCCAGGTACAGGAGCAGGAGAGATGTGTCCCAGACAGAACAGCATGTTTAAGGCTGCAGCATGGCTGTCGTACAGTGAGGTCAGGAGACTGGAGGGAGAGGAGATGGAGAGGTTGAGCAGTAGCCATGTGGAGGGAGTCCTTAGAGGAAACTATAGCTGTCACTTTTGAAACTGAGCAGGACCCTGCAGGGCCCTCCTGGGTACAATAGCCCCTCCATGTCTCCCATTTCTTATAAAGAAAAAGGCTTTATAGTCTCCTAGGCCTTCCCAGAGTTCCAAAGAACAGATGCAATCAGTTACTAATTAGGAGAGTGAGGGAATGCAGAAACAAAGAAAAAGCTGTCAAGAAACAATAGTTCAGCAGGAAAACAGAGTCCTAGTTCCTCCTCAAGGGATACATGCAACAATCTGACACGTATCTTTGAGTTATTCTGTAGGAACTGGAACTAAGACCCCCCACCCGAGTGGAGGATGGTGATCACAAGCTGAGCAGGAGCACCTGACCCCAGACTGGTTGGAATCAGAAAGTTAATGGTTAAGATTCCTGAAACACCACCCTGTTACCTCACCACCAACCAATCAGAAGAAAGTCATCCCCCTGCAACCCTCACCCCAAATGTTGCCTCTAAAAGCCCTTCCCTGAAAGCCATTGGGGAGTTCAGGTCTTTTGAGCATGAGCTGCCTGTACTCCTTGCTTGTCACCCTATAAATAAACACCGTACTTTCCTTCACCAGTAAACTGGCTCTGCTGCACAGCAGGTGAGCAGACCCAAGTTCGGTTCAGAATCGCTATCTAAGACTAAGGAGTGGAAATGACATGGCAGAACCAGGCCAAACTAGAACCCACATATCCAGACATCTAGTCTCTGTCCT